AGCAACAGAAAACAATGGGAACTGTAGCTTGCACACAGATCCCAATTTTCATTTGAATGCAATATTTCCACATATTTGACTTTTTAAAAGGAGTCCATTCAAGAATACCAACAATATCTATTATTAAAACCTAATCCTGCCTAGGGCACCAAAGTGGCTAGAGCCGGCAGTGCCACTCTTTTTCTCCTCCAGCAGGCTTCTGGCTATTCTGTAAGGATTCTTCAGGAACTTGGAATGCTGGCTCTCTTTCCTCTTTCTCCTCTTCCTGATGTGTTCAGCCCTCCTGAGTGAATTTTTTCTTTTTTCCCGTCTTAATCATTGTTTTGTTTTAGTTTTCTGATGGTGGAGAGAAAGGAATCTCAGGTGCAGGGCCCATTTAAATATGATTTGCATATTTAAATCGAGGCGTGGACGGGGAGGGGTCGGGTACTCCAACATGTGCGCTCAATTCCACGTTGATTGGGATGTACAAAGGAAATGTGCTTGGATTCATGTGTACGCACAGATTCATACATCTGGATGTTTTTTTGCGTACGACATTTTCTCGATTTAAGCGTACGTCATGTTTCAGTAGGAAATCCATGCAAGTCTTTGTACATGAGGCCCCTGGTCATGCTGCCACCTGTATCGACCTTGAGCCAAGGCTGTCCGGCAGCCACAAAGGATGTGATGTAGGTTTCCTGGGGCTGTTCCACACAGATCACAGTTCTCCTCTGTGCCATACCACCTTGCCAGGTTTGATGGGCTAGGAAGGGTGTCATACGTGGCTCTGACTAGGTAGCTGAACCTTTCCTGGGGCATCTTCCATCGGTCGTTCCACCCCACGGCCCATGGGAGAATGCCCTCCCACTTTGTCCATTGGCTTTGCTGGCACTGGCCGACAGACTTCACAGGCAGTTTGTCTTCCTCTGTCCTTAGCAGTGGTGATCAGCTGCAGATGATCAGTTTGTGTCGACTTAATGCTGAAAACATGCAACAGATGGAGGATGTAACTACCACATTTTCCCTGTTAGTGATTAAACTGATGAAATTCTGAAATGTTTCCACAGATACAACAAAACAAGTGTTCAGACTAAAGTTTCAAACACAGGACTCCTCTCTGGATCAGAATGAACCTGCTGTGATGGAGGACACCTAGAAGAAGGTAAATCATGTTTTCTAATTTGATTCAAAACCAATCAATTGACTCTAAAAGCAAATTAAAAAATACAACTTTATTGATCGCCAGAGAGGAAATCCACATTGCAGCAGTAAAAGAAACAGACTGAGGAGGAAACAGATAAAGAGCTATTTAAAATCATAAATACAGTAAAATAAGAACATTTAATAAATGACATTCAGAAGCTATATACATGATATACATTACAATACTTTGGTAACATACAGGACATGACTTGAGCATTGTGCCAATCCATATGTGCAGAAGTAAAGAGTGTGTTAGTGCCACTCTGCAGGCCTTATTGATGTGTGACTAATGAAGAATCAACAGTCAGCAGAAACTTCACTATCTGCCACCAAATGCAGCAGGAAACTGTACAAATACAATCCAGCAATCTGAGAAAAGACAGAGAGTTTACAAGAGAAGAAAAATCTACAACAGACCAACAGGTCGGCACCACCTTAGGAAAAACAAGTATATATGAAGCAGAGTGCTCCTAAAATAGAGCTTCCAGATGAGTCCAATATAAATAAGAATGCAGAATGTAATCTGTGTATGTGAGTGATGATAATGATGAGGAGTTTTGTGTCTCAGCTCAAACAGAAGCTGAAGGACCAGGGGCTGGGTGACAACATCAAACTGAGCTGGAGGAAGCAGCCAGATGGAAAAGTCTTCCACAAGGAGAAGAAGAAGAAGAAGAAGAAGACCAAAAAAGATGAGCTTTAAGGCTGAATTGTTGTGTTTGGTTTCATCAGAGAAAAGTGGATTTCTTTCCTTAAAGTCTTCATGTAATGGGTCAGAATAGATCTGTTTGAGTTGCTGGAAATTAAAGCAGACATTTTTAATTGTTTTCTTTCATTTTATAGATGAGATATAAAGATGAGATGAGAAGGAAGCTCCAGAGAGAAAAACACCTTTAAATCAAAGCTCCTGCTCAGCTGTGAGTCAGGGCTGGGGAGAAGGAGGAATAGGGAGATAAAAAAAGTAAAAGGGGTAAGAGAATGGAGCGTGTGTCAGCAGAACCATCAGATCATAATTGTTTTAAATGTCTTACATCAAAATATCTTAGAAATCATGTGTCTCTTAACCACAAAGCACAACAGGCCTTTTTCACAGGAGTTATTTTGACTTGTCACAGTGGGAGCAAAAACACAGGATTCCATTTAGCTGCATCCTGCGTCTCATTGGAGCACTTCGTTAGCCATCATTATTACAACATATTGTACCACAATATTTATATATAATATTTATTGTCATATTATTACTTAAATTAATGTTGCTGTAAGCTACTGTCATTACCGTCTGTCCTGCATCTCTCTCTGTCTCTGTCTCTGTGTGTCATACAGATTACTGTTAATTCATCACATTGATCTGTTCTGTACGACATCTATTGCACGTCTGTCTGTGCTGGAAGAGGGATCCCTCCTCAGTTAAAGGGTTTTTTTGGGGAGTCTTTCCTGATCAGCTGTGAGGGTCATAAGGACAGAGGGATGTCGTATGCTATAAAGCCCTGTGAGGCAAATTGTGATTTGTGATATTGGGCTTTATAAATAAAACTGATTGATTGGTGGATATAGTTAGTAACACCTGTGCTTTACCGACTACAACACGTCAAAATGTCTGCAGGGTGAACATGTTTATTCTGCATCACCCAGAGCTCAAACTCAAAACCTCAAACACCAACAACAAGCCAGGATCTTGTTGAGCTACTTGATTGGCATCACAGTGTGACCTCGACAATCACCAGAGCTGCACGTATGTAAAGGCAGATTTCAAACTAACTGTCAAAAAGTCAGTCAATAAGACACAATTCTGAGATTTTTTGCACTCTCTACACAACATAGAGATGTCTGAAAATTCATTTTAACAAAGGTAGTTTTCTCTCTAAGTGACAAACTGATGCTTTAAAGCTCTTATTTCCACTGCTATAGATTTAGGGTGTTTTCACACTACAGCACAAACACTGAGGTTTTCCTCCAATTTAAGTTCATCTGAAAGCGCAGGGCTTCATAACCGCACTTCAGTGCCACGTCAAAGTAAAAACAAAACTATGTCAATATATATCATATATAGTGTGAACAGAGAGAGGACTGAGGCCCCATCAGAGCTGAAGTTGACCAGAAAGAGAACTGAGTCCTCTTTTAAATGAACTGACAATGTGAACACAAAAAGAACTGAGTCCCTTTTCTGTTTGTCCACTTTTTGGTGCACTTCAAGAGGACTGAGTTTGGTTCATTAAAAAGGACTTTATTTGAAAACACCCTTAACTAGGATACAAAAAAGAGCAGTCAAATTCTACAAACGCCACCTGCCATTACATGGCTCTCCTTTTCAGCTGTTCCTGAGGCTCACCTCCTCTAACAGCACATCAGGAGAACCCTCACACAATCCAACCCAACTAAATTACAGCTAAAGAAAATGAAACTTTATCTACTATCGGACATCTATCACAAAAACCCCAAAACAAACGTCAGTGCTGTTTGGCTCTAAAAAGACACGATGCACGATGGCAATCAACAACATGCAAAATATATTTGTATTCAAAGACGTTATATACTAAAGAATCATCTGGATTATTCTTATTCTGTAACCTTATTAAGAATGCAAATTTCCTTAAAAATATTCATGTGTTTTTTTTAATGTTACTGTAAATAAGAAATAAAATTATTACTGGGAAACATGCTATTTGTATGTGAGCTTTTTTTTTTAAACTAAAAATGATTCATTGAGAAATCCAATAATATGCAATGAAGTAATGTTACTATGAAAATGAATGCTGAGTTCAGGGTAAATAATTTTAGTAAATGTTGGTTTATTTATATATTTTAATAATAATAATAATAATAATAATAATAATAATAATACATTTTATTTGTATAGCGCTTTTCAAAACACTCAAAGACACTTTACAAAAACAGAAAAAACAAGTTAAGATTTTTTTACACAGTTCATTCATGATTATTTATTTTGTAATCCTTTTTTTAAAAAACAAACAAACAAACATGTATTAAATACTTTACTTTAAATATAACTTCAGCATCAGTACACCAGAATGATTTTTTTTCCTGATTTAAAGAAATGAGCAGCCTCTGTGATCGACAATGTTTCTATAAAGTTGCATTCTCTCTGACAGCACTTGAACGCAACGTGTTGTCCGAACGTCATCACGTCCTGCTGTTGCCATGGAGACGGAGTAGCAACAGCGCTGTAAGTTCTGATGGTTCAACAGAAATTAAATTTCAAAACCTGCTTCATTCATCGCACGACACGTAAGTTCAGCTTCAAGTATTAGGCCTGGATATATCTTAACATGTATTTTAATATATATTTGAATAGTTTTTGTGTCTCGTGACTTAATTTGACGCGACGCTCACCGACACGTGAGCTAACTAGCTTATTTTCAGTTTCCACCGTTTCCACAGACGCCCACGGTCACAGTAACAATAAGATAGAAACGGTTTTAAATGATACATCTGCTCCGTGGAGCTGTATTTTAAAATGTCTTTGAGGCTTTTCTTTAAATTGAGAGACTGACGTACAAACATCTGGTTTCATTTTACTTTATTATCAGAAAAAACAACCTGAAACTTGTCTTGCAGGACGTCAGCTGTTACACATAAACACACAACAAACCTTTAACCACACAATAAAACTACATTTATTAAAAGCGGCTGCAGAGCAACAAATTAATATCCCTGTTATATCCAGTGTTTAATTAATTAAAGGTTCATGTGCTGTGTTGCACTCAGTCTGGTGGAGGCAGCATCAGTCCACTAAGTGCAGTGGCATTAGGCACCACAGAAGAAGAAGACAGCTGAGATGAAACAGTTGTATGATAGTACTGAACTGTGCAGCCTGTGTGTCTGTATGACATTTACATACATGCACACACATACACTACATTCTGTCTGAGCTACAGATAGAGTTTATGTGTGCACTCCAGGGTAAAGCAGCGTCCACACAGATGCCCAAATATTTACAGGTGGAAACTTGTTCAATCTGTGTGTCCTGGACAAAAACTGGTGGAGGATACAAGTTCATTGGAAGACCAAAACCTTCTTCTTCTTGTGTCGTCTCTGGATTAATTATAAGTGAATTCCTCACACAGCCCTGAGGTGCTCCCAAGATAGTAACAATCGGTAACTTTAACTGCCTGTGCTCTGTTTGCAAGAAATAAATGATGGTGGTTTTAGGCTCGTCTAAATGCTTCAGTATGAGCTGAATGTTACAGCTGCATCTTCTGTGCTACGATCCTGCGTACAGTCAAAACAGGCACAAGCTCAGCTACGAATGTTACAGGACAGAAATGAGTCACCGTGAGCTGCCGGTCAGATTCACCGTGTCCACGTCTGCAACCATGATAAGATCTGTGTTTGTGACGGCTTCTCTGTGTTTTCTTAATAAAAGATGGAGACTGTACTGGAGTCAGAGCGTGAGGAGGAAGTCAGGGGTGGAGAGACATGGGAGGAGGAGGAGGAGGAGGAGGAGGAGGAGGAGGAAACTCTGCATGTTTCAGCTCCTCAGGAGCCTTTGTGAGCCCTCACAACACACACACACACACACACACACACACACTGAAGGAGGACAGGAGTTGTCTTTAAGTGACTGATCAATAACTGGTGTTGTGTTCAAATGATCTATTAATACACTGAGGGCTGGAAAAAGGCCATTTTTTTATTGGCTGAAAATCAATTGGAAACACTTTCCTCAGTAAAGTCATTTCTAAATCGTTTTTAATGGTTGTAGAGTGAATATCTTCAGGTTTTGGACCTTTGGAGAGACAAAATAGTCAATTTCAATATGTCAACTTGTGCTTGGAGAAGATGTGACGGGCATTTTTCACAACTTTCTGATATTTTATAGACCAAACAAGCGATTAGGTAAATTGAGAAAGGTTAGGGCTGGGCGATGTGGCCCTAAAATAATGTCACAATATTTCAGCTTATTTTTGCGATAACAACATTCTTGACAGTATGACAAATTAGTAAAAAACTAAATAAATTTTTTTTTATTAATTTAAGAAGACAGAATTGCAACAAAGAATTACAGTTTGCTTCAAATATTCAGTAAAAACTAAAGAAAAATGATCTCTCATTTCTTCAGTTTGTGAACAACGACAGTAACTCAGAGTGAGATTCAGATTCTGTTACAATATTATTAGCTCAACAAAATAAAATCTACCACAGTTTACACATTAAACAGCTCCCAAATACAAAAATGGGCCCCTGGGATCTCTATATATTTGTATATATATGTATATATGTATAAGTATGACACCTTTTGTGCTCAGAGGGGAGCTAAGACACACCCGGTCACTCTCGACCTGCAGACGTGCAAAACCAAAGATACTCTATAACCGAAGGTAACGCATTACAAGCTGCACCAGTGGTATGAAATGATTTACACTTGTCTCTGAGGTGGGCGTCTCTCCCCCACATACCCTCACCTCGTTTGGAAATGTATGTAGTAAATGTCATGTGGATGGATGAAATCAGATTCAAAATGTAATGTTTGCTTCTAATTTTGCTGCTCATTTTATCTGCTACTTTAAAGTCTGATATCACCTGAGTGTAAGATCACGCCAGTTGTTGCCAGATCTCATAAGAGTATGTTGCAAAAACAGAGACAAGTGAATTTGCTCCTGATATGTATGTCTGGAAAAAAAAGAAGCCATTTCAGTGTCAGAATCTTTAGAGGGGGTGGAGCTTGTGAAAAATGGGCCCAGTTTTTACTTCAGTGACTGTGAAGCAAATAATCTGTACTCACGTTCACTTCTCCCGTTGAAATGAACGGACCCAGGGCTGCTGCTAGTCTCCTATAAAGGCCGGGACAGTGGCGAAACCCACGTGACACAGATACAGGAAATGAATCCAAAGTGGGCTGTCTCAGTCTCTGACAAAACCAAACATAAACACACACAAACAGACGTAATGATTAGCTTTGTTAGCTCTGAGTCAAGCAGCAGACACTTTTGAGACAGAAAGGTTGTATAAAGTAGAGGACTTCTTGTGTCCAGAGTCTCCTGTCAGCCAAGACCAAGGCGACATCAACTCTTTAAAATCACCCCTGCAGAGACCAAACAACTTAAACCCCAGAGAAATGCAGGTGAGAAGGAGCCGGTAGACAGAGAGATGCATACAGATACTTGAAATACACTGTTTTACAAGCCAGTTATAAACGGCTGGTGTTTAAGATAGCAGAAACACTCTGTACAATAACAACTGCATCTCCAGTTAAAAAATGTTTTCATCTAAAAACATAAACGTGTGTGATGATGGGTGAAGACTTTATGACAGTCATGATTCACTGTCTTCTCCTGCTGTCCTTCACCAGCCTGAAGTGGGACACAGCAGATGAGCTGTGTCCCGAGTCCTACAGGGTTAACTCCCCCGACGAGATTCGACTGTTGGCCATCGCCGACAACTTCCAGCGTCAGTATTCACACCTGTATCCTGACCGCAAACCGCTGCTGCTCTGCCCTGTCAACGAATGTGGTGTGAAGGTAACTCTCACAGTCCAACTCATCTTACGAGACTTGTTTTTGCTTTGTCCTTCTTCTCTTTTCTGTTTTTGTACCTCAGAAAGACAAATGCCACCTTGTCCTCTAATCTTCAAACAGCTCATGTACTATATCTACGTCTAATTCCTGTGTATTTTTTTTCATTCAGAAGTTTGTGTCCACGACTCTTCGGCCCATGATGACAGTCTACCCTGAACTTTTCACCTGGGAGGGCTGTGCCTCCTTTGTGGCTGACTTCCTGTCTCTGGTCCCTTTGGAGCCGCCTGTGGACCTGGTGAGAAAGAACTCTAATGCAGAGATTATAATTTGATCCACTTAGGCTCCGATCACATAGAAAGCGTTTTAGCAGCTGGAGGCGGCTTTTTGTTATTGTTTTTAATGAGAACTAGTCCATAGCCATTGGTAGCTTTGTCACCTTCTACCTATGCCAATCCTCAATGCCTATGTGCAGTTTCACATAGATTGACCACGTCAGTGAGTAGAAAAACGTGGGACAGACAGAATGACTGACTGACAGAATGACACACTGACAGTTTCCGTGATTATGTACAGCATACCATACCATGACTTAGTCATACCAAACATTAGAAAACAACACCAACATTGGTCCACAGGGGGAGCCACAGCGATCGGTCGCATTTTAGCCATTTTTAAGCATGTTTCTGTTGTTATAGCGCCACCCAGTTGCCAATTAGAGTTAAATTTCTCCAGTCACCTTGAGGCGTCCTGTTCTACATATCTACCAAGTTTAGTAAAAATCCATATGGCGGTTAGGCCTAGATAAGAAATGAGCTCTCTAGCGCCCCCATTCTGTTTGATGGGGTCAATAATGGAGGGGTCCCCTCAGATTATGTGTGGTCATATGCCTACAAAGTTGCGTGGTGATGGGTGAAACCCTTGAGATGTTATACACCTTTATGTGATGAGCCACGCCCTCCGCAATATTCATTGCCTTATAGAAGCTCAGTTTTAGTAAGTTTTCCAACTTTTGCCAAGAGGGAACTTTAGATATTGGTCCCTAGATTATGTTCACCCAGTTTCATGCAGATCGTTCAAACTTCCTAGGAAGAGATCCATTTGAAGTGTTTTTCAAAAAATTCAAAATGGCGGAAAATCTATATAAGCGGAAGTTATGGGTTCTTGAGGCAAATGTGTTCCTCATGAGGAGAGGCATCTCTGTGCAAAGTTTCATGTCTCTACGACATACGGGGCATGAGATATGCCCATTCAAAGTTTGACATTTCAATGGGTTGCTATAGCGCCCCCCTTTGGCCAATTGATGTAATATTGCTTCATTGGCATCCTCCCATGACCCTCTACCACTGTGCCAAATTTCACATGGATTGATCAAGTCAGTGAGGAGAAAAACATGGAACAGACACACAGACACACAGACACACACACACACACACACACACACAGAGTTTTCGTCATTAGATAGTAAGATGAAGCCTCTTGCTTGCTGTTTTTGCGTTGCTATGCACCTCACATGTCTGCGCTCCAGGCACCTGGTGTTTTTGCCACAGCTGCAGGTTGGGATCAAACCTGAGCCGCTGCAGAGGACTCAGCCTGCATTGGGGGGGAACTCTACCTGCTGAGCTAGAGGCTGTCTCCAGGTGTTGTTTTGTGGTGTGTTTTATGCCTGAAATGTTGTCGTGGGACAGATATAAAGCTCTGAGTGGCCCTGCACTAAAATGATCCACTCCTTCGTCATATTTACAACAGACTGATATTTAATGATGATGGGAGACATTCTGCCAGCTGTGGTTGGTTGTTCCTCATCACATAACATGTGGTCCGTGCTGCTGTGCTGAGTCAAGTTTCAGAAACACTGGATCCTACACTTCCCATGATGCAACTCAATAACATCTTTCATTAGAGCCCTCGTCTGCAAAACACACTCATTTGTAATACAGACTTTCTGTTCAAAGCGTATTTTCTACTTCTTTATTTTCAATTTCTGTTTATGTCGAATAAACTGACCTTTATGTGTGAAACTAGTGGAATGCCCCTTTAAAATGACAGTACAGTCGTAGATACAGGCAGAGCACCTCAGGAACATGTTTCATCTTTTCAGAAAGGTGGATGAACAAACTCTTCAGAAGAAAACAGAGAATACAGTGGAGACTTGTAAAAGCCAAGGCAGCTTTGAGAGGCAGCTAAACACGTGTTCACATACACGTCCATAAATACACACAGACCATCAGTGTGTATTGCTGATAGTGTCGGTGTGTGTGTTGCTGTCCCAGCCCAGGTACCTGTTATCCCCCAGCTCGGTGCTGCAGAGTCAGAGAGCCACATGTTTTGAATCTGCCGCCCTGCTGTGCAGCCTGCTGCTCGGCGCCCACTACGACGCCTACTGTGTCAGCGGCTACGCTGTCAAACAGATGTGTCTGCTGGACCAGAGCCTGCAGGAGTGCCCCCTGCAGGACACTGAGGTCAAGGTAAGTGCTGCTCTCAGTGCTGTGTATGTTGCTGCATCATTACTGTGCTTATGAAGGGTGATGAACAGCTTGTACACGAGTTTCCTCCCACAGTCAGACAGCTCATTGACTCACAGATACGAATGTGTCTGCTTGGTTGTGTTTTGTATGTGCAGAGCGTGACCTCAGAGCAGGAGCCACAGGAGGACAAATACACAGTGAAACATGTGAGGGAGCTGAAGAGTCACTTTCTGATGCAGCAAGAGAAGAAGAAACAGGATGCGGAGGCTGCGTCACTTCAGAAACAAAAACTCCAGGAGGTAACGGGATCTTTTTACTGTAAAACCAACACATTGTGACAGCTGTAGTTTAACTGTAGTTACAGAACAATGATGGATCATATTGATGGAAATAAAATAGCTCATTAACTCTACACCATGTTGCACCTGAGGGTCCAGGGGTCAAATCCACTGTCCTTATGTAAAAAAGTCATTGTGTGGGGCTGAAAGAGTTAAAATCACTGTCAAAGTCACTAAATCATTATAGTTCATTGGACTGTTATTCATTGATTCATACTGTAGATACACAGAAGTATCAAATATTATCAGGAACAAAAATCTGAATTTTTAAAATGTAAAAACAATGCTGTTCTACAAGACATCACATATTAAGCTGCTTATGGGTCAAATAACAAATAAGACCAGAAATACACACTGAAAATGACATTTTGATCTAAAGATGGAAAATCTTCATTTTGTGCGTTTTTTCGAACTGATCATGATATATATTTTTGAAACGTATTGTCCCTGTAATAAAAGCCCAGCTTGTCATTTTGAGAGCGACAGCAGGTTCCCATCCCGAGACACAGCCATCAACATTTACGTGTTTCAATTCTCTGAGTGAAATTGTGTTCTGATCGTACACTGTGTCCTAACTCGATGTGACGCGACACGAGCGTCAGCAGCTAAATTAGTTTGATTGTATTGTTTTCTGTTGGAATGTCCTAACTGCCTGTGAGCAACGCGACACGATGCACGTTGGAAGCCCCACAATGGATGAGGAACGGCTGATTCAAGAGGTTTTAATAAGGAGTTACCTACAGGATACCTCCTTATTTTACTACAAACTAACTGAGGCAACGTCTGCTCAGCACCGTTTGATTTGAATGGACACAACGTGAGGATTTTCTACCTGGAAATTATTGTAAATTAACATTGAGATTCAGTCTATAATGATTTCTCTGTTTCCCTGGCACAAAAGGGGAAATAAATAACGACAAAAACAAAATGAACAACACTATAAAAACATTGGTATCAACTATCAGCAAAGTTGTTCTTTTAAACATCAGTTGAGTTTCTAACCCAGTGAATCCCTAGTTTCAAGGTGTACACCTAAGATTAGTGTCATCAGTTCAGCATCTGACCAAATGTCTCCCCTTCTGTTCCCGAGATACGACGTTGAGTAATGGCCAAAAAAAAAAAAAGTGTTTTTGCACATTATGATGTCACAGTGAAGCTGACCTTTGACCTTTTCGATATAAACTGTCATCACTTCATTATTTTAAACTGTTAGACATTTGTGTGAAGGTTTGTCATAATTAGCTATGAATTATTGAATTCTGATCAAAAACATGCTCTGTGAGGTCACACTGACCTTTGAACTTTGACCACCAAAATCTAATCAGTTCATTGCTGGGTCCAAGTGGACGTTTGTGCCAAATTCAAACAAAAATTGCATCAATGTGTTCTTAAGATATCATGTTCACAAGAATGAGATGGACAAATGTGCAGACAACCTCCAGTCACAGCTATCGCTGGTGTGGAGGCACAATAACAGACGTAGCTACAGTGACGTCACCCACTAGTTTATGGTCTCACGTTTTGAAGCCTCAAGTTCAGCATTCTGGCCGTCGCCATCTTGGTTCAGCAGACAGTCTGTCACTCAAAGCAGCCACGCCCTTAATTATGCATAACTTTAAGCCTTAATAACATTTAAATGGGTGAATTATATAAAAATGCACCCTCTGTACGGCTATCGAGAAGGGGGAATTAGCTATAGACACCAATACTGTTTTTTGTAAGCTTAACAAAGTTTTTCGTAGCTTAACCATTTTGAAGTCTATCGTGCTTTGTGTAATTCCAAGTACATGAAAAGCTCCTTGGGCGCAGACCAGTTAGACCCCTATCTTTTAAAGGTTGCTGCCCCCATCAGTGCTGTGCCTTTTACGTACATTTTTAATTTAACGCTCAGTTCTGTTTCAGTTCCAAAAGTCTGGAAGTCAGCCCTCGTGACTCCTCTACATAAGGGAGGCGGCACTAATGATCTGAATAGCTATAGGCCTATCTCAAAACTATCTTGCCTGGCTAAAGTGTTGGAATCTTTTGTAAATGAACAGTTTTGTATTTTTCTGTCTGCAAATGCTATTTTAAGTCCCTGTCAGTCTGGGTTTAGATCCGGCCATAGCACCATTACAGAAGCAACTGTGGTTCTAAATGATATAGTTTCAGCGTTAGATGGTAGGAGACACTGTGCAGCCTTATTTATAGACTTGTCAAAGGCTTTTGATAGTGTTGATCACATACTGCTTCTGCATAAATTGAGAGTTTTTAAGATTAAAAAATGGTGTGCCACAAGGGTCACTTTTTAGGCCCATTGTTGTTCACTTTGTATATAAATGATGCCTGTGCCTCTGTAGAAAACTGTAAAGCATATTTTTATGCGGATGACACAGTTCTTTATGCTTGTGCACCATCGCTAGAGGAAGCTGTATCAAACCTTCAGTGTGCATTTGACTGCGCGGAGAAATCCCTAAAAAACTTTTGATTTTAAATGAAATCAAAACTAAATTCATGTTATTCACAAGGTCAAGGAAGTGTGATCCTGACGCCTTTTCCATCTGTTCCCTTAATGGCACCCACATTGAACGTGTTACAGATTGCAAATACCTTGTGAACTCACGCATTGCTGTAAAAGAGCTTAATGCTCAATCAGTTTTCCCTGAATAAACAATGGTTGATGATGAACATGGTGGTCTGTGGGGACTGACTGGCTTCTGGAGCCAGCCTCAAAAGGCCGTATGAAGAACCGCTGTTTTTAGTACTTCTGTGCTGCTTCATTTTTCAGCCCTGGAGGTCGCCGCTTAGTTCTGACAAATCATTACAACTTCCATGAGAAATGTCCCTTAAATAAAACTTAAAGTTAGATAATAAACTTGTCTGTCTCCTCTCTTCCTACTTTGACCTTTGACCTTTTCTTTATGAACAGGACAGTGAGCAGCGACCTGCCGAACCCCTGCGAGGACTGCGGGTGCACTGTTGGGTGCTGGTGCTGTCAGGGAGTCAGAGCGTCGAGGAGAACTTCTTCATCGACCCCCTGACCGGGAGGAGCTACAGCACTGATGATGACAACTTCCTGGGCATCGAGAGCGTGTGGAACAATCACAACTATTATGTCAACATGCAGAACTGCAGGAATGGCTGTGCTGTGAGTCCACCACTAAATACACTCTATACATGCCTGTTTCCTGTAAATCTGTTCATGCGTGTGTGTTTATGCCTGTGTGTAGGATATGGTGTATGACCTGGAAGATTTAAAGATGTGGGAGCCAGTCCTGTACGGTGCAGCCAGTAAAAGGCAGCTGATTCTTGACATTGTGAAGGAACAGGAGAGGGAGATGATGAGCAGAATAAACGATGATGACGAGGTTTGTATGTTTTTTACATCTGTGTATATGTAGTGGATATTTAGAGGTATGACTGAAATGAGGTTTTGAAAGCAGAAGGCGGCAGGCGGGCAAAAACCTATAAAGAATATTTTTTTCTTTTTGGCAGTAAATCACATTGAAAGACATAAATCAGTCAACTCGAAATTAGATTCAAATGTTTGGACCGAGCAGCAGCGTCCAGGGCTGAAAAATGAAGCCAACACAGAAAAACTTCAGCTCCTTGAACGGCCACTTGAGGCTGGCTCCAAGAGCGGGTTGTCTCTACAGCTGATTTTCCTATTTATGACAACTGTATGAGGCTGATTTTTAAAAAAAAATTATAATTCACCAGTTTAATTTCATAAAAGTGTAAAATTATGTAAAATTACGGGCGGGCCTCTTTAAGTGATGGACGCTGACTGCTGATAGTTTCCCCAGCTTCTCAGTCAGATCAACCCCTTGTCCTCCACAGCTCCACCCTCTCGTCCAGGGCTATCTATCTATCGATCTATCTATCTATTGATCTATCTATCTGATAGTCAGCTTGGGGTGCAGACTTTAGCAGACTTCACTGATTTAATAACCCAGAATTCATTGCAATACTGACATGATGTTGTGGGTTTTTCAACTGCAGAAAAAAAACTTATGAATGTTTAATAGGGCTGACCCAAAAAATTAGGAGCTTTGTTTGATGGCACGGGATTCAATTGTGAAAAAAAATTAGAAGCTTCAGCGCTTTTTTTTTCTTTTCGTTTTTTTTGGGGGGAGGCCTTAAACGCAACACTAACCCCCACCAGTCCGATACTGACAACGAGCGCACTCAGAGCTGGCAGACATGTCCAAGAGGTCATCAGATGTGTGGTTTCAAAGGTCAGCCCTAAGGTCAGCCCTAATGTTTAAAACAGTTATTGATAGTGAGGTCTATTAAAATGTTACTTGAAGGGGCATCAGTGGCTTAGTGGTAGAGCAGGCGCCCCATGTACAAGGCTGTTGCTGCAGTGGCCCGGGTTCGACTCCAGCCTGTGGCCCTTTGCTGCATGGCACTCCCTCTCTCTCTCTCCCCTCACGCTTGTCTGTCCTGTCAAATAAAGGCTAAAAATGCCAAAAAAATATCTTAAAAAAAAAAAAAAGTTACTTGAATTGTGATGGCCGGGAATAATATTCAACCACATCATGATACAGAGACATGTTTAGGTACGGGCTGTAGAGGGACTGAAAATGCATTTAATTATTGCAGCTTAACAGGCTGTGCAGTGTAATAGGCTAAAGAATGTCCGAAAAACAACAAAAGGAGGTTTCTACTGTCAGTATGAGTTATAGTCCTTATTTACAAATATTTCTCTTTTTGAATGCTGTAGCCTGTTATATGGAGATGGATTGATACAGGCTTTACATGGGATTTATATCTTGTTATCTGCAGGAACAGATGAGTTCATCAGCTTATATGACATATATATGAATATGACAGCAGCAATAGTAGAATGTTTCCACGGCAACATGTAAAACAGTCTCGAGGGCTGTCTATCAGCTGCTTGCAGTCTCTGCCCTCGCAGACTTTATGTGATGAGGGTAAATACATTATTACATACATCTGAAGTGCGAAAGTCCAGAGGGTGACATTTGGATTCAGCCCAAACATGGTCACTTGGCTCCAAAAAACCAAGATGGTTATGGCCGAAATGCCGACCTCATGGCTTCAAAACCAGAATCCACAAAACTATGGGTGACATCACGGTACCTACACTTGTTGTTTGTTAGGGTTGGAATCACCAGAGGCTCCACGATACCATATTATCAGGATACTTTAGTCACGACACAATATTATTTCAATTTTAAATGGGTTGCGATACTTTTTGCAATATATTGCGATTTATTACCTGTTTTCAACTGTAAATAATGTCCCCAAATGAAAACTTTGTCAACATCTGTTTTATCTGCTAAGATAAACATGTCAGACTGTTCATCTCACTTGAGTCATTTTGTGTGCAGCAAAATGTATCGAGTGGACTGTAATGCCATGATTTACCAGAGTTACAGCCAAACAAACACATGCATTGACATTGAAACAGGAATGAAATTTATTGTAAAGTCAACATTATGTTGTTGTTGTTTGTTTTAAAGGAAGAGGAGCAGCCCAGAGTTCTTAAGATGCCACGATCCTGGGTCAGTTACATCAAAGTCTCAGAAAAAGGTACATGAACGTGAGTTATTAATCTGATGCTACAGTGAACTGATGCTGCACATTACCCTGTACACTCTTTACCTCTTTATTGTCAAGGTCAGGTTAGTGTCTATTTGTAACCAGTTATGGTGATGATATACCATTAACCTGTTTTTTGCATCTTACTGATAATCTTATTTTTTATATTTTGTTTATTTAGCACTCTATATATCAAGTATCCCTCCTACTTTGTGATGAAACCACCATGCAACAAAGTCCGTCAGGATAAACACAGTTATCTATTACATCTATAAAGATGGTGATGTTAGTTATCCATTAAATCATCTGAGTATGAGTAGTAAATAAAGTGCATACAGCAGAGAAAACACATGTGTAGTAAAACCAAACACATGCCACCTGATGCTGTGACACCTCCACAAACTGCTGCCTCTCGTTTCTCGTTCAGACCTGGAGACCCGCTGGCCCGAAGGACAGAAGGTGACTCACTACAGAAAAGCAAAGCTGGAGAGGTTTGCACTGTACCTGAGGTCAGACGGCCTGGTCACACGACTGACTACATACAAAGACCTGGACTGTGAGTGGTTAACAGAAACCTCCCACTTTTGAAAATAATTCAGCTTTTTTTCTGTCTTCATGTGGAAAAGAAATCCAATGAGGCCTTTAGGACCTTGTGTCCCTACAGAGCTGAAAAAAGTTTATGTCATTGGAATCTGTTTGTGCTCAGGATGTCCTGATCCTTTCTAAAATGTAGGTGTTATGAGCCGATTAAGCATTTTAAACTGATCAGGATCGTCTTTATTGAGCTATAGAGCCCAATCTATTTACTTCAGCTGTCACTCAGGGACCGGTTGCACAAAACACCTTTAATTTTTTCCACTTAAGGCTTAATTTCTCCTTAGCTGATGGATTTCCACAGTTGCACATAATTCCTTAAATGGTTTTCTTAGTTAAGGAAAAACGTTAACTCAGATATTTAACAGAGATTTTACAGCAGTAAAAGTTTCCATGGAGATTGTGTGTTTGCTTGTACTCAGCTTGTGACGCCTGTTATCGTCTCACAAAGTTGGCTCATAGTTAGAGAGTGAAATAGCAGAAGAAAGGAAGAAAACCAAACTGGAGAAGAAGATTAAACTTCTGGAGGAATACAATCATAGAGAGCACAAACTACAAAGTTAATTTGATCCCCAAAACAATTGTAGAAAGAAATTGCAATGAAATTTAATTCAGTTGAATCCAAAGCGTAAAATAAAAAGCGTATCCATCTGGTTGCAGAACACTCTTCTCGGGGTGTGTTGGTATGTGTGTGTTACAGACAATGGGAAAGAAAAAATTAGTGGCATACAGTTCATTCAGATAATTTGGAAACAGGCTGCACTGAAGTAACTCTTAGGAGGAAAGAGAAATTCCCTCGAGACACGACCAAAAGAGAAATTTTTTATTCATATGACAAGCACACACACTGGATTATTTTAATAACTTAAAAATGTTTGCAGCTGTATTATCTAGTACAATAGAACAAATAGAAATCCCTAGTATGCATAACGTGACGTGTGTGTGTGTGTGTGTGTGTGTGTTACAGGCACAGAGGTCGTCATGGTGAAGGAGTGGTATCAACACAGAAAGGACCACCTGGAGGAGCGGGAGGTCAACAAGGTCGACAACTTCACCTCAGAGCGCTTCAAACGTGGAAGAAGCTTCCACCTCTTATGTACGTCTGCTTTCTGCTGCTGTCCAGTTAAAACCTCACATTGCCCTAAGATGCATTTTAACCGACCTGTAGCACTCCATGAGGGTGACATGAGGGCCTGACGTCCTCTAGTGGGACCTGTGCTCACAGCCCAGCACTGTGCAGCTCCATCATTCACCAGAGAACACCAGAACTGGCAGGTCCACCATCAGCGCCCTGTTCTCTTCAGATGAGAGCAGGTTCACACTGAGCACATGTGACAGGCGTGAAAGAGTCTGGAGATGCCGTGGTGAACGTTATGCTGCCTGTGACATCATCCAGCATGACCGGTTTGGCAGTGGGTCAGTGATGGTCTGGGGAGGCAGATCCCTGGAGTTGGCCCTGGGTTCCTTCTGGTAAAGTGGGCCCTGGGTTCCTCCTGGTGCAGAGGGCCCTGGGTTCCTCCTGGTGCAGTGGGCCCTGGGTTCCTCCTGGTGCAGAGGGCCCTGGGTTCCTCCTGGTGCAGAAGGCCCTGGGTTCCTCCTGGTGCAGAGGGCCCTGGGTTCATCCTGGTGCAGAGGGCCCTGGGTTCCTCCTGGTGCAGAGGGCCCTGGGTTCATCCTGGTGCAGGACCCGGCCTCATGTGTCCAGAATGTGTAGGCAGTTCCTGGATGATGAAGGCATTGATGTCATTGACTGGCCGTCTCGTGTCCCTGACCTAAATCCAACTGAGCACCTTTGGGACGTTATGTATCAGTACNGGGCCCTGGGTTCCTCCTGGTGCAGGGGGCCCTGGGTTCCTCCTGGTGCAGGACCCGGCCTCATGTGTCCAGAATGTGTAGGCAGTTCCTGGATGATGAAGGCATTGATGTCATTGACTGGCCGTCTCGTGTCCCTGACCTAAATCCAACTGAGCACCTTTGGGACGTTATGTATCAGTACATTTGATGCTGCCAAGTACCACCACAGACTGTCCAGGAGCTCACTGATGCCCTGATCCAGGTCTGGGAGGAGATCCCCCAGGACACCATCAGGAGGTCATACAGGGACGCAGGGGCCGTACACACTACTGAGTCACATTATGAGTTGCTGTGATAAAATCCATGCAAGCTGGATCAGCCTGATGAGTTGATTATTTTAGTTTCCATTGACGGTCGTTACGTCATTTTGTTCTCAATAAATTATGTAACATACATCAGTAAAAATTCTAAACTGGAATAATGTGTTTATGGAACTAATGTGTGATTTAAGTGTTCTCTTCATTTCTATGAACAGTGTATGTGTTTGCTCAGTTCACAGGTACACATCGTCCAGCACAGGCACAGAACACGAGATGGAGTTCAGCAGTGCTCATCTTGACAATCTGGTGCGGAGGGTAAAGTCACCAAGTGAGATGACGGAGACCTTCGAGGGCCGGGGGGACTTCCTCTACTATCGACATGTCGTCCTCGGTCGACACGTCCAGTTCTCAGAACCAGATGTGGACACCGATCCAGATGACCGACCACTGCAGGTAAAAATATAGAAACCAAAAATTCTCACTTCATTTTATGAACCTTATCAGTAGCTCAGGATAGTTGAGAGTCGCTTAATGTGCATGAGTGTGTTTTTTTGTGTGCAAACAGAAAGTAGTGGAGCGTTTCCATAGGAACAGATCCAAACCAGCCAGCGAAGACGTGGCCGAGCGAGTGTTCCTATTAGCTCAAAGACGCATCGAGGTGACCTATCACTTAGGGGATCACAGATTTATCCCTTCAAAGAGGAGCTTCACCAAACCCCGAGAGTCAACAGAACAAAAGAAGGCCGGGGTCTTCACATCTCACATGGTCACCAGCTTCCAGGTACAGACAACAAACACACAGGAAGATATACGGGAAGTTTCAAACTAAAAGCCTCTGAGCAATGGCGATTTTGAGGGGTGGCCTGGGGTGGCCGGGGCCACCCCTGAAAACTCATTGGCCACCCCAGATCTGATAGGTAGTTGGTCAAGTCCGTCAACAAAAGAAACAAGAGAAATGCTGCCAATCAATGATGATCAGCTGATTTAGGGCCAGTTTTACATTTTTAACTAACACAGTCATGGTCGCACTGAGGCTGTGAGAGCTGATTTCTGCTCAGCGGATGTTTGACCAATGGCCATGCAGGTCTGATAGGTGAGCCATCAGCCATGAGATGAGCATGCCGCATCTGCTGCTGCTGCTGCTAATGAAACGGGAGGACGGTCACAGTGACAACGTCAACTGCAGAACTGCTGGATAAAAACGGCACGCTGAATCAAAGCCAACGTTTCAATTTATGCCTTCATCAGGGCCCTGGACATGAATACTGTCTGGGTTGAAAACCACTTTTTGCACATTTTCATACGGTGCCGTAGCATTGTTTCAAACCTCTCATTGTTCCAACCTCTCATTAGTCCGACGTCCCGTTGTTCCAATATGTGATTATTACTGTATTTGTGTACCATAGAGGATCAGCAATGCAACAAAAGTAGGCTACCGGTCGAGATACAAGTGTCATAGAGAGGAGAGAATGAAACACCATAACCTCCTGATATTAACTCTGGGGTCTGGGTTGTGTGTGGAGCTTTCCGTGGTGCTGAATGGCTCCCGGCGGGTGTATTTCGGCCTTGATGGTGCGCCACGCCCGCGACCGGCTCTGGGTCAGCTGGGAAAGGCTTGAGGCAGAGCAGGCTCACAGCTTATGTGTTTGCCACTTTCTTTTTCATTTTAACCCACACCATGATCTTTTCCTGACCCTAACCAAGTGGTTTTTGTGCCTAACCAGACCTTAACCACAGGGCATCATGATGATTTTGGAACAACAGGACTTCAGAACAATGGGTTTAATATGGTCGGAACAATGGGATGTCGGAAAAATGGGCAGACCCCTTTTCGTACATCATAAGGCATCATATAATGACATTATTCAGTCATCAGGGCTTCAGCTGTGTCACCTGTATTGTTACCTATGTTTGCTTTACTAATTTAGGCCCCATCTTGTGGTTAAATAAAAACACACCTGGCAAAGACCAAACCAAAAAAAATCAAATTTCAGTATCTCCAACAAATTATATCTATATCTAATTATATCTGTAAAGAACAACAAATATTCTTTTTTTCCTAGGCTACAAGCTTATTTTATCTTTTTGCTTACAGATAAACTTTTTAATAAGGCCTATCTTTAAGTATTAAGCTTTGATTTGAATTTTTTGGTTTGTTCTGTTGCCTGGATTGCTGTGTTTTTATGTAACCACAAGATGGCGCCTCAATTAGTAGAGCAAACACAGGTAACAATACAGGTGCCACAGATGAGCTGATGACTGATTAATGTTATTCTATAGGATGAGTAATCTAACTTGTGGAGAGATGAGGACGTTAATCCACTATAAGGAAATGGCTCTTAGAAAATGTGTACCCTATCCTGAACATAAATACTGATTAAAAATCGACATGTTAAAATAACCAGAAATTCCTGAGGACTGTGATAGGTGGAAATGGAATTAAAAAAAAATTACTTTTTTTTTTTTCAAAATTTTTTTTTACCTGCATAGACACCTTTATTTGACAGTTACGAGACAGGAAATCACAGGAGAGTGAGGGGATGTGACATGCAGCAAAGGTCCTCCGGCCAGGATTCGAACCAGGGTTGGCTGCGTACGTGGCATTATACTTTATATCATTATATTATATGCCATGGCCACCCCACACTAGCTTTGTGTCCCATCTTGGCCACCCCAGTAAAAATGTCCTGGATACGCCACTGCCTCTGAGCTGTTTCTGGGATCGTACACTCCAGTAATAACATTTGTGTGTGTGTCTGTGTGTGTGTGTGTGTGTGTGTGATCAGGTGGATCCGTCTGAGAAGCCTCTTCAGACTCTGACTCTGTATGAGATGCTGGTGGCTCTGATGACGGACGAGGAGGAGGCGGTTCTCCAAATCAAAGTGTCTAAGAAAGAGGTAACTGTAGCATCGAGCTGTGTCACAGCTCATAATGTTTTATAGATTCTGGATTTTTGAATGACAGAAAATGGTCACCTGAGCAAACTATTTTTTTACAGTCCTCCCTAAGTCAAACATGTCCCAGTTAATCACCAGTAGAGCCCAGTTCAGGTCAAAGATTTGCAAACTGCCAGTTTACACCAATGAGACTAGACGAGACGATGTATCCACAGCTCTCTGTACTTCTGTTCTAACCTCCAGCTTTTCAGGATTATTTTGTTGCTGAGTATAATTTGTATTTTCTGGAAATATGAATCGGGACAGTGACAGCACAGGACACTAAACTATAACATGAGTCCTCATTATATACATCTTGTATATAAAATGTCTGTATTCTTGCTGCCTTTGACCCTGTGCTCCTTCCCCCCCCCCCCCCCCACCCCCACCCCCCACCCCCCCCAGATGGGGGCGTAATGCTGGGTTCATACTACATTACAGTTTTGTTCCGACAGTCATCTTGTCAGATTAGGCGACTGTGGAGTCATCAAATCTGTGACTTGGCCGACTGACATGACAGACTACATGTTGGTCCACGACCAATCATCCTTGGTCGTCGTTCAGGACGTGTGTGATGTCATCAGATTATTCTTGTTCTATTTTTATTATTATTATTATTATTTCAGTCACTGTGTCTGATCGTGTACCAGCTGAACTGTTACCATAGTAATGTAAAAAGCACCACCAGATGGGCGGAGCTACATTTGAAGTCCTGCATGCAAACTATGACAGTCACTCCACAACAAGTTCCTGCAAATGTTTCACATAAAAACCTGTTTAGAAAATGAAGGGATTCTCTCAACTGAAATGATCAGGGGCTTTTAATTTGAAACTGATACAGGAAGTGTTGAGTTTGTAATGACAACGCGATGCATTAAATGTAACAGGACAAACGGGAGCGGATTAAAACTAAAGACAGAATGAGAAATGACGGCCTGTTTCTAAAGTAGTGTGTTTGAAATGTAGCCTCTGCAGCTGTGCTGAGTAAAGGACCAGACACTATCTGTGAGTTTGATTCCTTTATATCCTCCATTATGAAGAAAGAACATTCTTTGCTAGCTTGATGCTAATGACAGTACTCAACGGGTTAATAAAGTGCCTCTGCTGTTTCCTTTTTACTCTGTGTGCTAACAGGAAACGACGTCGACGGTGTAAAGCTAACATTGTGTAGTCTGAACCCGGCATTACAGTTAGCACAGCGTGGTGTTGCTACTTTTACTCAAGTTCAAGGTGTGAATACTTCTTCCACCCCTGATGTGTGTGTAGCTGAGAGACATTGTGGCCTGTAGAGAGCAGGAGGAGGGAGACGTTCAGCTTGACTTCTCCCCGTGGACGACAACAGGAGCTGCCAGGGCCCGCAGCCAGAGACAGGAAATGGTGACTGACACACACACACACACACACACACACACACACACACACACACACAAAACACATGTAACTTGGTTGTGTCAGATTTCCAATTTTTAACAGCTCTTGTGTAAAGAAAAGTTTACCTGACGATTTACCGTATCTGTTTTACTCCCCACTGATCAATTCCTGGATATAAAATACGTTTAAAATTGCCACAACATTCTAGCCCGTCATCGCCAGACCAAATCACAACTGACCAGACCAAATTTGGACCCTCGAAGTTTATTTTTGATCTATCATCAGCCGTGGATCAAAGTGCCTCTAAACACAACCAATCAGAGCTGAGCAACGGACAAAACAGACTGCTGCGTGCATCATGAGCTGTAATGGTGTAGCATCAATGTACTGTGAACAAGTGAAGATATTTTTGCCATCAGAATTTAAAGATAAAAGGTGTTTTTACTTTACTAAAATATTTGAAACACAAGGAAAAGGCCAAACTGTTTTTGGTCAACTTGTTGATCCTTGAAAATGTGTCAGGGCGCTCCTCTCTACTGGTGTCAACACACTCTATATTAGATAAATGGTTGTGATTGGCCCGTCGCATCTCCAATTGTTGGAAATCTGTCCAAAGCAGAGAGAGAGAGAGCAAATGCATCTGCCAGAGCAGGAACACTGCTCACAGATTTGTCTGGTTCCCAGGCAAACAAAATTCTCTTAAAAATGTAATTCTGTTTAAACGACTAAAAAACCTCTAGAATTACTGCTGTGTGGTTTCACACCTCCGCGAACCAGTCAAGTTGGATTTACAGTTTTCATCCATGTCTGTGAAAACAACGGGTTCTTCGTACACATCTTCAACCCGGCAGCACAGAAGATCTACACAATCAGCACAGTTTCAAGGTGGACACCCAAAAATTAGAGTCACCAATTCAGCAATCTGGAAATCCATCGGTAAAAAAAAAAAAAAAAATTTTCTTCCTTTACCTCTGGAGGCACAGCCCAGAGTTTTGCGACTAACCGGAAGTGAAGGGGCCTCACGCCCTTCACTTCCGGCGGTTGTTGTTTACAAATACTTTGGGTAGAAAACCAGCAGAGTTTAGCTATATATCACATTTTTCATGTCACTATATCACCGTGTAGATTAATCTGATGTTTGTTAAGTCTATAAACACAATGACTGAACAAACGTTACTATTTCTGTGTGCACATAATTAATATGGTTATTGTAGATTAGCTGGGCTAACCGTTAGCTGTTAACGTTAGCCTTTAGCGTTGTCTATAACCATAGACTGTATAAAAATAAGGTAACAACTCAATAAACGGTCCATGAATAAAAAATATTTTTTCCAGCCGATATCTTAGTTACAACATGATTGAGCTAGCAAAGTAGTTTTGTGTTGCTATGTGTGGTATTTATACGATGTCTAGAAAGCATTAGTGGCTGCAGCTGACAGGGACAGTTAGCAAAGCTAACATCAGGACTTCATCTGTTAAAAGCCTCCCGTTGCCGGATACGACATGAAACTACTCCAGTTAGCTCAATCATGTTGTAACTCAGACATCTGCTGGAAAAAATATTTTTTTTCACGTTGACGAGACGGCATTACTGGAGCCGTCGCTATGGACGCGGAGCTTGCTGTTTCTGTAGGTACACATTTCCTGGGGACACCTGCACGTCTGGGCCGCGCCCCCTCCATTGTGATTGGCTAAAGCGTAGCATCGTTCAAACTCAAAGCCCCGCCCTCCCCCCCCTCTCTAGCCGTCTTTCACACAGGGCTGCCGACAGATTCTACAATGTAGATTGCAGAATCTGTCTTGAGAGATTACCAATTCAGTATCTGACCAAACATCGCTCCTTCTGTTGTTGAGAAACGTTGTGGTTTCTGTGCTTGTTGCAGGAGCGTCTGGCTGCAGAGGAGCAGAAGTGGCTGCAGGAGAAGGAGAAGGACATCCTGGCTCCCCACCTCATCCGGCTGGGCAACAAAGAGACTCTGAGTGCCGAAGACGCCAGGCAGCTCTACCAGGACTGCTTGACCGAGTTTAAACAAAGACTGGTGGAGCACGCCAACCTCATTCAGGAACACTATGAAAAGGTACAACCAGGGCTCCAGACTGTTTTCCACAGGTAGCACTGGTGCAACCAACTGAGGAAGTTGGTCTCACCAGCACATGATTAGTTTGCACCCTTTTATGTTCTTATTATTATTGAAATCTTTTTTTTTAAGCCAAAAAAAAAAAAAAAAAAAAAAAAAAAATCAATTGAATAATGTGATACTTTGGCTCTGATGCAGCTGCCTCTCTGTTGCCTCACACAGCGTCCCGCCCACAGCGCCATCTGTGGGGTTCAACTTTATGATTAATGGCCTATCAACATTAAAGGCAGCTGTGCCACAGACGAAATTAAATGAACTGAACTCTCTGACTCACTGACCAAGGGGACTGGTTGATTAAAAAAATCCACCGGCCAAACATATTTTCTACCGGCCGAAATAACGGGTGGGATTAGCAGATGGGCGGCAAGTGATAGTTCAGTCAAGCTTGTTTCAAACATGCATATTTTTACTGGTCAACATGTTTGTATATTGAATATGACTTTAGTAATTAATTATTTTAAAATGCTGCAATAAAACAACTTTAAATGATCAGAGAGGTAATTGGGGACCTGTTGAACAAGAACATTGCTGATAACAATCTGATCTGATTTTTTAATAGACATTTTAATTTAATTAAAATTTTAAAATTTCATTTATTAATGTATTTAGTTATTTATCTTCTGCAGATACATATTTCTTCTAGCGTACTTAGAGAATTGTATTTATTATGCCCTGTCATGTCTCTCTTTGGCTAATAATGTGTGTAGTATGTTCATGATCTACAGGCCACTCTATAAATAGGTTGACCCGTCTTGGTCACGGGTGGGATGGGTTGCTTATGTAGAAATAAATGGGATACGTTATGATTTTGGCATCTCATTATTAAAAACTATGTAGTGACACTACAGGAAAGAAATGACAGATCTGTTTTAACAATGGTAAACAAGACAAAAAAAGAAACCCTCCTATATGAAATAACCTTCGTGACCATTTGAGTATAGATTACAAGGTGTACTTGAATGCACCAAGGTTGGTGTTCAAAGGTGTGTCTCAAATCACCTCCCTTAGTACACTTCTGTGTAGTACACTATGTGCACTATGTACTCATTGGTGTAGTGCGCAAATTTCGACAGGATAGAGTTGTCTCAAACTAAACACGGCTGTTTTGCACTCCCTGGAAATGACGACCGCAAATTAGCTAGTTAGCAAACTAGCATTAGCATTTGCTTTATCGTTTGTGGTACCAAATCATTACAGACTGCTAAATTAACCCAATAAACATACTACTGGCTTATACCCAACAACAGTATAGTGGTGCTTAGTACAAAAAACACGTGAATTTGCACAATGCAGCAACGTTCATGGTCGCACAGTCCTCGGCCGCCATTTCCAGTTTGAAAAGTGGTCCCTGCCCTTCTGCCATGTAGCTAAGATGGCGACCATTGAGAGCGAGAAGTGTCCATAGTTCCACACTCAACTTCTTGACCATTTTGAGTGCACCATCCGGGTACTGATAGTGCACTGCATTGTTCCATACTTCTCAGTGTGAACGCACTTATGCACTCAAAATATTAAGTGCAAGTACAGAAGTACACGATTTGAGACACAGCACCAGTCTGTGCGCTTTACCATACAAAGCAATGTAGATTTCAGAGTTTACAGGGTGCTAGTGAATGCACCATAAAGTCCTTGCTGCTGTGTGCTGTGTGTTTATTGTTTGTTTAGAGTTTATATGTCCACAGAAAGAATCTCTGCATGAGAACTAATCCACTGCAGGAATCACTGACGCTCTGTAAAATCTGTGTTCAGGAGACGCGGGAGCTGCAGAGGAAACAGCAGTGGTACCAGAAGAACCAGCTCCACATGACGAAGGAGGAGGAGGAAGAGTACCAGACCTACTGCTCTGAGAAAACACTACAAATACATGTCGCCAAGAAACGCCTCGTCATGTAAGTACTGTTCTTCTCTTGTGATTCTTGTACTTGTATCCTTGTGAGGACCCTCGCTGACATAATGCATCCCCAGCCCCTGACTCTCAGGGACTGTTAAACTTGGTCTGTGAGCCACCAATAAAGACAGAGAAGAAGAAGAACAACTGCAGCAGCTGTCTAGAGGGTAAAACATGTCGCCGTGTGGACGTCTTTCACAGTTCCACAGGAAGACAGCAGGACTGCGCCGAGGATCTAACTCTGCCAGCTGCTGGACAGAACCATGATCTGTTCGGAGATCAGTGACTGGTTGATCAGTAGCTGCTACTGCAGAGTGAACAGAAAGCATTTGGGCATAACAGCAGATGGTGTGTGTGTGTGTGTGTGTGTGTGTGTGTGTGTGTGTGCGTGTGTACACATGATTCCTGATGTGTGTTTCTTTGTGTTTGATCCAGGCACAAGGAAGCAGCTTCTCAGAAGTACCAAACTCTTGATCAGAAGCTGAAACGAGACCCCCGACTGGCCCCTCACCTGCTCGGCTGAGCCTGACACCCGCCATCTAAGATATTTCTACTGGAGGAGTGGATTTAATGAGTTATTATCTCTATCGTCTGTACCCTGTGAAGAGTCTCATGTCTGGAGCAGTTAGACACATTTCAAATAACAAAAATCAAGAACTGAAAATTTTTCCAGCAGTGATGCTGGAACCTCAAAGTGCCTTTAAAAGCAGCAGCTGGATTTACATCAATGTGTTTTGGATCTTTACAGTCCTGATGAGTCCCTTTATCTTGGGTGACTCCCATGTGTAAGTTGCACTAAAGATGTCTCACAGATAAGACACGTTCACCAGATTCAGCATTATTAACGAGTAGGTTTTCACCTAGGCCAGGGGTCGGCAACCTTTACTATGCAAAAAGCATATTTTAACCTTATATTGAAGGTATCTAAATCAGCTGATCAACTTTACTAAAGGCTCCAAATGAGCATTCATTAATATCTTAAAGTGGCTCCTCTGCAGTGGGCTATTCATGATAATCTGCTGCTTTAACTTTGCAGCGTTGGCCATGAAAGCAAAAAAAAAAAAAAAATCTCTCCTCACACTATTGAATTCTCTGTTTTCCTTTTTTGAATTTGGAATCAATAGTTAGCCAAATGTTAAAAAAAAAAAAGAAATGTTTTAACGGTGTATTGGCTTCACATTTTTACAGTCGGAGAATGTAAGAACAAAGATGTATGAAAATAAAAATGTTAAAAAAAAATAACAGTTATTTATTGCCTTTTCTTTTTGACAAATCCATCGGGATTTTTAGGGAACATAGGAAATTTTTCCTTGGTGTTTTGGTGAATAACCATGTTAAGAGAAAGTATAAGATGGCAGCACGCAAAAACTACAACAGTCAAGAACCACAAATGAAACAGAAACATTGAAGCTAAAAATAAACAATATCATGTAAAATATTTACAACCCTGATTCCAAAAATGTTAAGATGCTTTGTAACAGAATGCAACAACTTGTAAATCCTTTTTGACCTATATTCAAATGAATACAGCACATAGACAAGATATTTTATCTTCAATCTGATTAACTTTATTGTTTTTTGTAAACATACGCTCGTTCTGAATTTGATGCTGCAGCACGTTCCAAAACAGTTGGGACAGGAGCAATTAAAGACTGGGAAAGATGCGGAATGCTGGAAAACCCAGTTTAGTACATTCCACAGGTAAACAGGTGAACAAGCTGCAGGTGATAGTGTCATGACTGGGTGTGAAAGAGACATCCTCAAAAGGCTCAGTTACTCGTGAGTAAGGATTGTCACTTGGTGAAGAAATGCTCTGGCAAACAGTCCAACAGTGTGAGAACAACAGCTCTCTACACACAGATACAAAGAAGAACAGTTTCCCGCTTTGTGTCGGTCCATCTCAGAGGAGTTCGGCCTCAGAGACGTCGTCCACTGTTTGTGGACGTTGATGATATCTGGCTGGTCATTTGTAGGTGCAGCGATGTGTTCACTGACAGTGGTTTTCCAAAGCGTTCCTGAGCCCATGTAGTAATATCCTTTGTATAATCATGTTGGTTTTTAATGCAGTGCAGCCTGAGGGGTCAAAGGTCACGGGTATTCGGTCTTGGTTTTCAGCCTTGCCCCTTACATGTAGAGAATTCTCCAAATTCTCTGAATCTTTTGACGATTTAACAGATTGTTGATGGTCAAATCTATAAATTCACATATCTGCACAGGAAACCTTCTAAACAGGTGTTTCTGATCACTCCACATCTTACCCAGTCTTTTGTTTTATAATTTTTTTTATTTCATAAATAAAGTGTATCACAGAACTAAATATCTTGTCTCTGTACTGCATTCAGCTAAAAATATGTCAAAAAGGATTTGCAAATCATTGTACTCTGTTTTTATTTACATTTAACACAGTGTCCCAGATGATGTTTAAAAAAAAGATGACATTTCAAATTATAAAATCACACAGTCACATAAATATCACACACAACCTACATCACACCTGGAATACACACAATACAGTGTATACAGTAACAGTACACAATATCACAATAAAAACACTGCAGTAAAGTAAAACTAAAAATGTCTCCTCAACCATAGCTTATTATCCAAACTACATGTCTTTTATATATTCTCCTGAAACCAAACTTTTGTTCGGTATGCATTTGTAATTAGTTTTCCGAGCTATTTAGGCAGTAGGACCAGATAATTATACATAACTCAACATTGTCAGCCATAATTAAGTCCCAGTGTCCTAAAAAGAGACGACAATAAAGTCCCAGTGTCCTCGAATGAGACAATATTTAGGTCCCAGTGTCTTCAAACAAGTACTTCCTAAATAACAGCGTCTTAGCTTATTACTGTTGCTAAAATTGGTCAGATTTGTTGCCATATCAAACTATAAACATAATTAATTATAAATAAACACATTTCAAACATAACATGTGATCAGGTTTTGGACCTTGGGATCAGCCGCAGACTGACCTTGCAGAGATGACTGCCATCTTGTTTTTACATGGATTAGTGTATCGTGCTCTCACTACCACATGATGGCACACGAAGTGTCCACGAACGAGGACAACAGGTCTGAGTTAAGTAGAATGAAGAATAATGTCAAGTAAACCCAAAATGTGACGTCCTCCTATGAGGACAAACAACAAACATTTAGGTTACAACTCACCTATGAAGCCTTGGTTTAATCCACCAAACGATAACAGTCAGACAAAAATGGTCCTCAAACATTAGCAAAGGTCCAGATGATCCAAATCCAGTAAGTTATTCAGTCCAAACACATTATAAAATTCATGAAAAGCCATGGACTCCCACTGCATCCTTTCAAATGCTCTAATCTCTCCAAAATGGCCGCTGCACTCTGACCTTTTAATTGACACCTCATGTGACCCAATGGGAGCTTTCATGCCCTGCCCACAGCCTACAATAGCCAATGAGAGCATGGGTTCTAAGGAAGGCCCCGCCCCTCTTCATGTGGGGAGAAATCCAGCCAATAGCAAGTGGTTGTGTCTATGACTGACGCTTCGTATAGCCAGTTAAATACCAAGCAGGACAATGTGCAGCTTGAGGTTGGTTTTTTTTTTCCAACATAGACCATTTCAATATATATGATTATAATATAAATAAATAATAAACAAATGTTTTTTTCGTTGTTTAAAAAGAAAAATACAGTCTTTATTGTTAATTAGGTTTGTATGAACGTTTGTTTTTTTTTTAACAATAAAATCCTAAATAGACTTTTTTTTGTTTTGGTTTTTTTTTACTTTTTTTTTTTTTTTTCTTTTGGAAAACCATCTGGACACAACCTCAGAAACGGGGAAGGGGCTTCAGAGGCATGAAACCTCACAGCTGATGGATCAGCTGATAGATCACATGGCTCCTTTCTATTCAACCAGTTGGAAAAAAGTTTAAAAAAAAAACTGACTTATGCACACCTTTGAAGAGTCTCCTGAACAGGTGCGTATAGGAAAAACTTCAGCAGGTCAAGAAAGAAAAAAGATTCCCACACACTGTTGTCAAACTTGCAAAACATTTAATGGGACAAGGCAGCTACGTTTCGGTCATTACAACCTTCGTCAGGCAGAGTTCAACCAGTTGCCAGATCTCATTCAGAGCGCCCTATTTAAACTGCTCTGGCCTGCCGACTGTTGCTGCTTCCTCTGCAAGCCACATTACAACCTGCCTCCACCAAAGCTACTGGACTGATTCAAAAGATTGATCCAGGCCATGGTTGTTAATAACAATCATACAGTCTCAGTTGTGATTAAAAATGAATTAAAATAAAGGTTTGGGAAGTGATGGTTACAGTGTATGAGGGGCTTCTGGTAGATGTTGCGTGGGGTCTGCAGTGCATAATGTGGCCTGTGGATATTGTGTGTGATAGTAAATAAGACAAAAAGATTTGTTTGCTTATATGACAACATTACTAGTTGATTACACATCAGATGGAAACAAGGACAGAAGTTTGTAGTTTGATCTGAACAGATTTTTAGAGAGCAGACTCTATTGTACGTCAACCGTCTTTAAGCTGCGTACATTTTGCACTGTAGGCCCTACGTCACAATACGCTTAAATATTCACTCCCAGCACACAATGTTGATGTTGATGAGTTCACTCAGTAAAACATTTAAAGATGCCGAGCTTTTGACCCTGAACACGTCCAGGCACTGATTTGTTTCTTCCAACTTAAAAGCCTCTGCACCAAACTGCCTTCAGAAAACCTGTCATTTAAACCTGCTCTTCTTTTTGCAGAACTTCACCTGGGGAAATCTGGGAATCTTGTGAACGGTTTTGGTGCTCTGATGGTTTGAGCGTCTTCATTCTGATGTGGGAGAATATCCAGAAAATCCAAGTGTTAAAAATCATTAAAACATGAAATGATGGAACTCTTTCATTTGTTGTAGTTAGGCCCCGATCACACAGAAAGTGATTTGCCTTGTTTGTTTGTTTGTTTGTTTAATTGAATGCCACAAGTAAAAAATGCTTGTTACACCTTTTTTATTATGTCCAGGCAACCACCCCATCACCTCCTCAAGTGGGATTTATACTTGTGTGTCAGCTCTATGCAGACCCTACGCTGTAGCCTACACCGTTGTGAGCATTTATACTTAAAAACACTAGTCGATTTCTGTGAAGTGCTGTAAAGTTCAGTTGATTCAAAACACACATTAAACACACATTAAAAATGGCTTAATAGAGACAATTTCAAACACAAATCAGCTTCACTATAACTCGCAGCATTCACAGACAAACACTTGTCTTTATCTGGACACATTTTCCCCACAAATACAACATGCTAACATTATTAGCACAAGCCTATGGCATTTCACATTGTATAAATTAGCCTAGCAGCTAGCAGACTTTTCCTCGACTCATATGAAGCCAGAATAAATCACACAAGACTTATTAGACTTAATTATGAACTTTAACAATGTGATTAATAGACTGAAGCGTCCCTCACACTTCCTCCTTGCTTCACAGTCGGCCATGCTTGTTAAAAAGGGGGCGTGGCTCTACTGCAGTCCACATTAGATGATGAGACACACTTTGATTGGTTTATAGACATCCAATCAAATGAGTCTGTGAACTTGGGTGGAGTCACATGACAGTAATCATAGATCTAGACATCCTAGAAAAGTGACATCCATTGGAATAGACAGGGAATCTGAACAGGTTAATTTACCACAACACAAGCAGATAAATTCTAATGTCTTATTTTAATCAACCAACAGCTTAAGATATTAAGTTTATATATGACAAAGAAAAACATAACATCTTTATATCTGAGAAGCTGAAACCAACAAAGAAGACGTTACAGTAACATTAAAAGTGACTTTGGTAACTTTTGGGGAAAATGCTTAAAGGTTGCATCCATGATAAGGTGACAGCAAGAGAATAATACATATCATTATTTTCTCTATAACTTGTTTGTATATGTTTGACACATCACAGGGAGACAACACATTTTCTGGATGCAACATTATTCTCAAATTAAGACATTTTTCCTCATAAAAATACATTTTAAAAGATTTAACAAAACATTAAAGGCTCTTTTTTAAGGTGTTTTGTTTTCATTGGAGTTGCCTTCAGTAGAATCCTATTTTATCTCATCTTATAGTATCTTAATATTTACAAAATCATATCGTATATTACCTTATCTAAAACTATTAAATGTATAAAATGCCAGAAATAACAGAAATATGTTTGTCAATGTTTGGACAGGTCACCAGACTATCACAGGGCTGACACATAGAGACAGACAGGGAGAACATGCACAGAGGGCTCCCCCACCCCAGGGTTCAAACCAGGAACCCTCTTGCTGTGAGGCGACAATGCTAACCACTGCACCACTGTGCCATCCTAAAGAGAAAAAAATAGATTTTAAAGATATCACAAAACATCAGAGCTCATCTTTTTTTAAAGGTGTTTGTTTTTGTTTCCTTGAGTCAAATCTTATTATAAAGTATCTTAACTTATTTTATCTCACAGTATTTGAAGTGAAAAATGTCAGGAAATAGTGAAAAAGGCTGAAATAATTTCCAACAGCCCAAACACATAAAGACTAATGTCTTGTTATAATTGACCAACAGTTTAAGATATTGAATTTGTGATAATTTACGACAACTAAAATCATCAAGTCTTATATTTGAGAAGCTGGAACCAGCTTACAAAATGACTAAAAGGATAAAGTGATTGTTGAAATAGTTGCGACTGATGGATTAATCAGCTAATTGTTGCAGATCTATTCTGACCCATTACATGAAGACTTTAAGGAAAGAAATCCACTTTTCTCTGATGAAACCAAACACAACAATTCAGCCTTAAAGCTCATCCTTTTTGGTCTTCTTCTTCTTCTTCTTCTCTTCCTTGTGGAAGACTTTTCCATCTGGCTGCTTCCTCCAGCTCAGTTTGATGTTGTCACCCAGCCCCTGGCCCTTCAGCTTCTGTTTGAGCTGAGACACAAAACTCCTCATCATTATCATCACTCACATACACAGATTACATTCTGCATTCTTATTTATATTGGACTCATCTGGAAGCTCTATTTTAGGAGCACTCTGCTTCATATATACTTGTTTTTCCTAAGGTGGTGCCGACCTGTTGGTCTGTTGTAGATTTTTCTTCTCTTGTAAACTCTCTGTCTTTTCTCAGATTGCTGGATTGTATTTGTACAGTTTCCTGCTGCATTTGGTGGCAGATAGTGAAGTTTCTGCTGACTGTTGATTCTTCATTAGTCACACATCAATAAGGCCTGCAGAGTGGCACTAACACACTCTTTACTTCTGCACATATGGATTGGCACAATGCTCAAGTCATGTCCTGTATGTGACCAAAGTATTGTAATGTATATCATGTATATAGCTTCTGAATGTCATTTATTAAATGTTCTTATTTTACTGTATTTATGATTTTAAATAGCTCTTTATCTGTTTCCTCCTCAGTCTGTTTCTTGTACTGCTGCAATGTGGATTTCCTCTCTGGGGATCAATAAAGTTGTATTTTTTTATTTGCTTTTAGAGTCAATTGATTGGTTTTGAATCAAATTAGAAAACATGATTTACCTTCTTCGAGGTGTCCTCCATCACAGCAGGGTCATTCAGATCCAGAGAGGAGTCCTGTGTGTGAAACTTCAGTCTGAACACTTGTTTTGTTGTACCTGTGGAAACATTTCAGAATTTCATCAGTTGAAACACTAACAGGGAAAATGTGGTAGTTACATCCTCCATCTGTTGCATGTTTTCAGCATTAAGTCGACACAAACTGATCATCTGCAGCTGATCACCACTGCTGCTCACTTTACAAACAACTCCATAAAAATGATCAGCATCATGAGGGTTAAAATTTATTGTCCGGGACTTGATCACAACAACAATCTGTCCTTTAACGCTGAGAAAACAAAAGAGCTTATCACTGACTTCAGAAAAATGAAAACTGTTCAGCCACCTGTTGACATAAACAACACCCCTGTTGAAATTGTTAACAGCTTCAAGTTCTTAGGCATCCAGATCACCAGCTCCCTCTCCAGGTCTCTGAACACCAGTTGTGTCATCAAAACAGAGACTTGACTTTCTGAGGTGTGTGAGGAAACACAGCATGTCAACAAAAACCCTCATCTACTTCTACCAGTCCAAAATAGGAAGCACCTTGACTGGATGCATACTGGTATGGTTTGGCAGCATAACAGCACAGGATCATAAACACCTGATGAGGATGGTGAAAATAGCGTCAATAATCATAGGATCACCATTACATCAGATACAGGACATGTACACCACCTGCTGGAGGAAGAAAGCACTTTGTATTTTAAAGGACACTAGTCACCCAGCACACAGCCTTTTCTCTTATCTTCACTCAGGGAAGCATCTGCAGAGCATCAGAGCTCCAACCTCCCGCCTCAGAGATAGTTTTTACCCCCAGGCGGTCAGACTACTGAACAGGAGCACTTAAAGACTGTGGATGCTGTGGATTATTCATATATGTTTATTATATGCTGCTGTTATATGTTGCTATAGAAATCCAAATACAATTTGAATAACGGGTCAGAACTCACGTGTGCTGTAACAAATGAACGCTCTCCTGATGGCACAGGGCTCGTCGTACCATTGTCCGGAGGAGCCAAAGTATGCAGTCACACAGTCCTCAGTCCCTCCATTGTTATCAGGTTGCCCTGGTATCCAGTGCCTAAATGAGGAGTTACTTCCATCCGACCACTTCCAGGAGTCTCTGAAGAGGCCGATCCAGACACGTTCTCCTGCAGGTATCAGCTCCTGTACCTTCTGGTTCTCTGTCATGTTCCTCACACTGGTCAGGTCTGTGTAGTTTACTCTGCAGTGGCTCTGGGCCTCAGTCCATGTCATGGATTTGGTGATGAGGATAAATGTCACATCCGACCCTGAAAATAGAGCACAGTGAGGCGCTGTGTAGAGGCACCGTAACATACAGCCTCCCATCCATGCCTCTCTGTGGTACTTTTCAAACCATTATATAATATTGATAAACTAATGAATATGTAATAATAACAAAGTAAAACATTATCATCTTAACAAATAAAATAAATTAATAACAGTATTTCTGAAACACACACACACACACACACACACACACACACACACAAAGACACTGTGTGCACGTGAACATATGTAACCCGGTTGAAAAATACCCTATAATAAAGTTAATGTTTAAAATTGTTAAAACATTAAAAGTATCTTAAATAAGGTTAAAAAGTCAGTTCATAAAAAGATACATCATAAGTAAGGTTAAAAAAGTTGTTTCCTGTAAGATTAAAAAATGCTGTGGAATAAATAAGTTAAACAGGTACGGATGTAAAGATATAAGTATGTTGAGTAAATGTTTATTTTATTTTGAGTGTTTTATTTTGAAGGTAATGGCAGGAAAAGGAAGTGTTGTGTGAATTTGTGTCGCTTGACTGGCTGAGTCATAACGTGTAAAAAAGTCCGTGAAAAGTATGTAGTTGATGTTTTTTAGGGCTGCCTATCCGACAGTTTGTGCCTGGACATTATTCTACATATCTTCTGTGAAGAGCTGAGAACATTTCTACCCGAAGTGTGTCGAACAGTTTTTCATGGTATGTATTATGTAAGGGTTAACGCCCGACGAGGTGTCCATTATCAGGAATTACAATCAGAATTGAGTATTCACCCAGACCATGGTATAATAACCGATTAGCTACCACAGGTGTATGGTTAGCACGGGTGTGCGTGCATCACTAGCCAAGTGAATGAATTTTTAGCGACAGAAAAGCTAAGCTAACTCAGCTTACTAACAAGGCTGTAATTCATCTTTCCGAAGAGGAGATTTGAAGAAGAAGAAGAAGAAGAAGAAGAAGGACTAGAGACCCTGAGCTACTGACTACACCATGAGCCACCCAGATGAAACTCAAGAGTATCCTGATTGCTGACTGTTTCATACTGCCAAACTGACTTCACTGTTTGCTTAAGGTACCATTTTATTTGTTGCTCTTTTGAGTGAAGCGGCCAGAGATTTTTAAGCCTCACCGTACCCGAGCATCATATCAGGCCTGCAACCAGGGGGAATTTAAAACTAATTGCCGGCTGGTGACTGTATGTGTGTGAGCTTGGTGAGTGTGGGCCCACTGGTATTTTATTTTATTTAAAAAAAAAAAAAAAAAAAAAAGGCATAATTGAATGTCAGTTGAATATTGTGTTCATCCAATTTAAAAGTATTATTGTGGAAGTTTATATGTGAGTTTATGAGACTAACAAGTGCTCTAAAGAGACTGAACTATATTTTATTTTAAAAGAGACTGCATTTTATTTGCTTTGATATCTTTCTCTAAAAGTAAATAATTGAGTTTACTATTCTTACCACTGATTCCAGTGTTATTTTTGGTTACTTCATTCATTAAAGGTGTCTGAATACAGGTTAAAATCAGTTAAGGTTTAAAAAAAGAAAGCACTTGGGTTTAAAGTAACTGATTAAAGGATTATTACAGTGCTTATATTTACAGTTAATTTGCAGTGATTAAAAGACTCAAGACACAATAAAAAAGTTTAAAAGGTAACAGAGAACAGATTACATCACCTATTGTATATTATTTTATTTCAGTTGAAGAACTCAGGGCCCTTCCCTGATTATATTAGGGGATAACTGGGCTACACATACAAGTGTCCAGTCTGTCCATCCAGTCAGCCCTCTGTGATGTCATCAGTAGTCTCGCCACCAGACAATCAGAGATCTCCGCCTTCTGATAGTCTGGGGACACTCCTTTCTAAAGTGTGTTTAACACACCGGCGAAAATGGCCGGCAACAAAGCAACGCCTCTTGTATTTTTGAAAAGGACACGCCTTCTCGGAAATGTGCGCTGCCCCTTTTCTCGTCCACAAGGAAACAAACACACAGAGAGCTTGAAAATGGATGCCGAGAGATTTAACCATAGGCGTGATTTAGGTATGGCGAGGAATGGCAGCTGCCATACCTTGGAATCGGGAGAAAAAAAGAGAGAGAGGTTCTGTAGTCATTACTCGAGGCGCACTGGCTGGTTGTTTTCATTGTACTGCACTTAAATAGATCAATAACATGCTCATCAGTGAATACCAGTGTTAGTGAATACGAGTGTTATTGAATCAAATTGTTCGCCACTTCGCTCCTCCGCGAGTTATGAGTTATGTGAGTTACCGTATATTTCCAAATAGTCGCCCGGTGGTAAATAGTCGGCGGGCACCTAATAGCCGCCGGGGGTTTGACCCCATTTTGCGTATTAAACATCGGTCCGATTAAACGCCGGGCGATTATTTCCTCATTCATTGCCTCATGGCTGTCCCTCCTTGAGGGACTGTTTGCGCTTTTACGCACGGGTCGGTGGTGAAGTGGTGCACATGACTCGTGCTACGGACGGATGGACGGACAGACAGCCACGTATCTAAAACAGGTAATACATCTGGCTACATCTTGCCCACATCAAATATCCGTGATCACCTACACCCGCGTGCATAAAAGCGCACACAATTCCGTGTCCTCTCACCACGGATGCTGTGATTTAATGGCCCGGTACTCATTGTAGCCCACTCTTATGAGACCCAATAATAATAATAATAATAATAATAAGTTACTGTGGACCTATATGCCATGTCTTTTAATAAAATTACCAGAAGAGTTCACTGAAAAACAGGTCATGTCAGCCTGAATTACTCACGTGCGTCACCGGTGAAAATCGCTGACATGCATGGGAAATATGGCTTCTACAGGCTCGCCATAGCTTACTGTCAGGACTCAGGGACCAGAATTCGGGATGGCGATATTTCGGAGTGGCGGCCTGTAACTGTTGGTTAAATGGCCCGTTCGGTTGGTATTCGGATAACTGGGGCTTTACTGGTATAATGCAATAGCACCACCCAGCGGTGAAACCCGTGTACACGTGTACACGAAAAAAATGACCCACTCTAAATGTTTAGAGATTTTTGTACATGAACTCACCCCTACATTATACAGTATTTTTGCACTAAAAACATACTGGACAGGAACTGTAACCAAATAAC